AGGGGAGGGGGAGACCCATGGAATGGGTTGAGAGAGAATGGCGAGAGCAAAAGGGGGACCGCTAGTGGAGCCAGCTCTTTCTAGCTGCGTTATCTCATGTCCTTTCTCATTTGCCACACTTCCCTTCGGTATTTTACAGCTGAGGGAGCATGCTCAGGGAAGGTAGGTGAGTGGCCGAGCTAGGTGTGGAGCCCTGGGGACTCCAGAGTAGTCACACAGTGCCTCTTGCTTTTCCTCTTCTGTGTCGCATCCACCAGGCATCACCCAGATGCCCCCTGTGTGCCCGCTACTCCACCAGGCACTGGGGTTGACACAACGGTTTCCCCCAGCAGCTCCACCTGTGAGAGAAACGTCCCGCTCTGGGGCAAACGGGATGGCTTCATACAAGGAGATCTGGAGGGGTGGATGGGATCTGGTCAGGCAGGGGAGGGGGGCAGAGAGAGCTGGGGAAGAGGGTGGGTACATGTGCCTTTCAGGTGTGACCGGGCCACCTTTGAGAAGAGGCAGCAGGTTCCAGAAAGCGGGGTGTGGCAGCCATGAAGGCCCACCACTCAGATTTCCTTCCAGAAAGCCTGCTGGGAGAAGCATTTAGCTGCCAGCCTCCAGCTGCGGGTGTTCTCATGCTCGGTCCTGGCCTTCCAGCCCGGGCAGCCCCAGCTGTGCAGAGCATGGCAGTGGTGCCAGGGTTCACATCTACGGGCTGTCTTTGCACTGGTTTCGCATGAGCCAGCCCAGGCTCCCTCCCTGTAGCCCTGAAGCTCTTCCTCCCTCCCGGTCTATAGGCTGGGCCTTCCCTCCATCGTCCACAGCAGGTGTTACTCCCACTGAGAACCTTGCATTCTGACTGTCTTGGTCTCTGTTTCCGAGAACCCAACCAGTGTGGGGTCTCAGGTTTCCCCTCTACCCTCTCCACCGAGCAAGGCCCCCTCTCTCGGTCATGGCCTCGGTGGCGCAGCCGCATGGAAATGCTACAGGCAGAAGAATGCTTTCCTTCTGTCCCTTCCCAGCTAAGCCGGGGTGGGAGTGGACACTCTTATGTCCTCTGCAGGGTCTCCGCACCCTTCTCTTGTGACATATGTGGACATGTATCACATCTGCTGAGAAAGAAAGTGGTACTGAGTCCAAAGCACAAGGGAGACACAGAGCCCCGTGATCTGTGCCATGGTGGGGCTGTGGGTGCGGTGGTGCGGCGGAGGGAGGACTGCGCTTCTCAGCCAGCTGGTCCGGGAGGACTCCCGGTGGAAGTGCTATTCGAGCCGAGTCCTCAGGTGAACAGAACTTCTCTGGGTAAAGGGAAGCAGGGGCTTCTAGGCCTGAGGCCAGAGGGGAGCTACAGGAGCAGGAGGAGAGCAACTGTCCCGGTGACCTGTGCCTGCCTGTCTCTTACAGAAAGGAAGACAGAGGAAGCCTCGGCCACTGGACCCCGGCGAGGGCTCCAAGGACACAGACAGTTCAGCTGGGCGGCGGGGCAGCGCCAGCAGAAGGCATGGGCGCTGGCGGGGCCGTGCCGAGAGCCCGGGTGTGCCCGTGGCCAAAGTGGTGCGGGCAGTTACCAGCCGGCACAGAGCTAGCCGGAGGGTCCCTCCCGC